GCTGCTGCTGCTGCTGCTGAGTCACTTCAGTTGTGTCCGACTCTGTGTGACCCCACAGACGTCAGCCCACCAGGCTCCCCCATCCCTGGGATTCTCCAGGCAAGAACACTGGAGTGGGTTGCCATTTCCTTCTTCAATGCGTGAAAGTGAAGTGGCTCAGTCATGTCCGACTCTTCGTGACCCCATGGACTACAGCCTACCAGGCTCCTCCACCCATGGGATTTTCCAGGCGAGAGTACTGGAGTGAGGTGTTGCCTTCTCTGATGACCAGAGCATTCTCTCGGCAAAACTTTTGCCCTGCTTCATTCCGTACCCCAAGGCCAAATTTGCCTGTTACTCCAGGTGTTCCTCGACTTCCTACTTTTGCATTCCAGTCCCCTATAATGAAAAGGACATCTTTTTTGGATGTTAGTTCTAGAAGGTCTTGTAGGTCTTCATAGAACTGTTCAACTTCAGCTTCTTCAGCATTACTGATTGGGGCATAGACTTGGATTACCGTGATATTGAATGGTTTGCCTTGGAAGTGAACAGAGATCATTCTGTCATTTTTGATATTGCGTCCAAGTACTGCATTTCAGACTCTTTTATTGACTATGAGGGCTACTCCATTTCTTCTAAGGGATTCCTGCCCACAGTAGTAGATATAATGGTCATCTGAATTAAATTTCACCCATTCCAGTCCATCTTAGTTCACTGATTCCTTAAATGTCAATGTTCACTCTTGCCATCTCCTGCTTGAACACTTCCAATTTTCCTCAAGTCCTGGACCGAACATTCCAGGATCCCGTGCACTATTTTCTCTACAGCATCGGACTTGACTTTCACCACCAGACACATTGTCAACGGAGTGTCGTTTCCGCTTTGGCCCAGTCGCTTCATCTGTCTGGACTTATTACTGATTGCCCCCTGATCTTCCCCAGTGGCAGACTGGACACCTTCCGACCGGGGGGCTCATCTCGTGGCATCACGTCTGAGAAATTCCCTCTCCTTCTATGCTAAATGACAGTCCTCCCGGGCAGAGTATCCTAGGCGGCAGGGTTTTCCCTCTCAGGACTCTGAATTTATCTGGCTACTCCCTGCTAACCTGCAGTGTTTCTGGAGAGGAGTCTGCTGGCAGCCTTGTGCGGGTTCTCTTGTAGTGAAACCTTTAGACACCTGAAGGCTTCCTTTAGACCCCTCTCACTTCTGACATTTTCATGACCCCGTCCTCTGCGGGGGCGCAGGCAGGTGGCCCTCGGGGCTGTGTTCACAGGGCCACCAGGGCAGGCCCTCTGAAATCAGTAGCTGTGAACCCAGGCCTGCCGTGGGAGCGGGGAGCAGCTCAGGCCTGGCCCGGCCCCCAGGTGCGCCCACACAGCCCACAGCGGCCCAGGCCCGACCAGCCAGGGAGCCACCACTGTCCACTCACGTGTCCTCCAGGGGCCGAGTGGACAGAGCCAGAGATCGGCCCACGGCTCAGCCACGCCTCCGTGGTGTCCTTGGGCTTGTGGGGCTTGTGGAGGAGGGGCTGTGCTGGGGGAGAGTGGAGGCTGCTGGGGGCCGGCTCTGCCCTTCACACGCCCCTCAGCATCAATGCTTTGCTTCTACAACGGCCGGGGCGTCTTCCCCGCCACCCGAGCTGCGGTGGCGCTGCACTCCAGCCTGTGAGGCTGTTCACGCAGCCAACCACGGCCATCTCCCTGGGCCTGTCCTGCACGAACCAGCTGGCACGCATCTCTGGCTGGAGACCGTGTGCAGGCAGCACAGAGCCTCTCTGCCGGGCTCTTGGCTCTGCCTGCCGCATGCTCCTCCGAGTCTCTGAAGACCCCCTCTCTGACCCGGCCAGTCCACCCTTGGGTGAGGGCCTTTCTGGGGGCCGGAACCTGTCCCCTATCAGAGCTTCCTCCCAGGGGTGCAGGGCCAGTCCAGCTCCCCCTGCCCCACATCCTCCTGGGTTACATGGAGATCTTTGGTGCCTGAGCTTTCCCACCAGGAGGTATTGTGAGAACTATTCCATGTGTAGACGTATTTGTGGGAGGAGGTGAGTTCCACATCCTCCTGTTCTGCCATCTGGATTCCAAGTCACATACTTGTCTACGTGGAGGTATGATGTGATCCTGGGCTTGCTCGGACACCAAGTGCGCCGTCTTCAGTCATATTCGTGCTTCTCCCGCCCGTTTGCAAAGTGCGATGGTGGAGACCAGCCACACCAGCTCACTGTGCACTGGAAGGATGCCTGGTGTCAGAGGAGGGCTCAACCGCCAACCTGTGTTAACTCGAAAAACCCTGCACTTAGAATAGCTTGAGTATGTAAATCTACTTTTTGAACCGTAAGTGGTATGAAATCTCAAGTATTTTTAAAATATAATACTTCAGATATATTAAACAGTGGAAACTAAAATCTAAGAGCTTTTTTTATTGTGGCTACTAGAAACTTAAAAATTATATATGTGGTCTACATTATACTTCTTCTAACTCTTGGGTCAGACCAGGACTAACTGAAAGACTTCCTTTCTTATGAGAAATAATTTTATAACCTAATCGACCTAACAAGTTGATTTATCTTTTCTTAAATCTTCATAATTTCCTCTGAGCCTCCAAGTCAGTGCTCAGCAGCTGTGCCGGCCAGTTGGCTGTAGACAGCTCCTGGAGTTTTTAAGGAGTATTTCTTGGCAGCTTTTGAAAAAACACTCATTGAAAGGTTAATCAAATCAGTCAGACTTGCATGTTGCTTAAACAAACCCCCATGTTCACTGAAGACTGAACAGATGCTTTGACTCTACCCAGAGGCTTTTATGCCATTATCATGTTCACTTTTCTTCAAGGGTATAAGAAGCAGGCCCATACTCTTGAATACTGAGCAATCAACATTTTGTGCCAACTCCTGTGTACTTCCAGGACCTTACAGATTCTAAGTTCTTTCACATCAACATTCATTCCACCTGTGGTTCATGAAAAGAGTCAGTTCTACACGTAAGTTTGTTTGCTTAGGTACAAAAGTAGGAACTAAAACGGATACACATTGTGAGATAGTCTGTTAAAGATGCAAGTTTAAGTGTCAACAGGGTGTGTTTTAAAGAGCTTGACAGACGAATGTTTCCAAGAGACCATCAGCGTGTCATCCACGCATGCTGAGACTTAACAGCGCCCACACGGCAAAAGACGGGTCACAGGGAAGTCGCCACAGGTCAGGGCCTAGGGCATAGATGAGGTCGCAGGTGTGGAGCCTCACTTCACAACCGTGACCCCGAGCGGTAAACTGCAGGACTGATTCCACATCAGAGCCACGAGGACATCCCACGTAACTCAGCGATGCCCGAGCCTCACAGCAATGCTGACAGCTCATGTGACGTGGAAGTCCTGACGTGTTTAATGCACGTGCTCCCCCTAAACTGTGTTCAGGAAGTAAACTGTAGGGATTGCACGACTGGAGAACAGAAGGGGCCAATGCCGGCTCGTAGGAAGACACCTCAGCAGCTGCCGTGGAGGCGAGTCCAGCGGCCACTGGCGAGGCGACGGTCTCCACTGCCGTGTCTACCTGCAGCCCGACAGGAAGTGCGTCAGAGCCGCGTCCGGAACGAAGCCGAGGTGTGGGCCCCTGCTGCATTAACGAGTCTGGCCGGCTGGTGCCCGTGCTGTCCTAACTGCTGACGTTGTGAACAACCTCTGCTCAGGAGTTTGTCTCACCTTGATAGAAAATTACATCCACAAGAGAAAATCCTACCAGAAAATGTTTTGCCGTGAAATTACTTAAGATGTGATCCAGCTTAATACAAACCCTATAAACTATACCAAAATATGTGTCATAACAAAGAATCACTCAATTCTAAGCAAAGTTCAAAAGTACATTTATTTAAAATGTGGGCAAGATTTCAATATAAAAGAAAAGAGTATAAGAAATAAAAATAAAAGTACAAAACATTTCAAATCTTTAACATCCATAATTTAGAGATAGCAAGGTCTTTATTTACATCATTTCTATTTGCAGCTAAAGTTCCATTAACAGTGTTGTGAAAACATTTAAAAACCCAGCAAATGAATCATAAAACCTAATGCGGGCTCTTAAAAGTCGTATAATACAAAACATAATTTATGTTTCCTCAGAATAATATTACACATCTTAATAAGATGCAACATATTTAATATATTTGTCTTCCTGCTTTAAAAACGCTTGTCCTGAAGAAAGCAGCTGGAAAACAAGGGCGTCTGCGGGCGCGGGCCGGGGGCAGGCCGCGGTCCTGGCAGCAGCGCGGGGCGTCAGTTGAATTTATACGTGGGCGTGTTGAGGAAAACAACCCACAGCAGCGCGGCCCACCCCCAGCACGGCCCAGGCCCTGCCTCCCCCTGCAGGGTGCCTGCCAGGCCCTGCGGCCCAGGCCTCCGCCCGTGGCTGCCTTCAGGCTGCAGACACGAGGAGAGGCCCGAGCGGTCACCCACAGACGGCTCAGGTGAACTTCATGCCCAGTCTTCCTTCCGCAAGGAAAGGCAGCGCAGAACGGGCGCCCAGACCTAAACACAGAGGGCGGGAGAGAGCCTGGAGAGACGTGAGAGCGCCTACTCTAGAGAACAGCCCACGGACTCAGCGGGCCTCCCAGCGGCTCCACCACCAGCCCTGGCAGGCGTGCCCTAGCCTGCGGGGTCCCGGGCAGAGGGGCCCACCCACTGCCTTCCCAAAGGATATGACTCGTAGTCCAGTGTCTGAGTGAGCACTCCAGTGAGAACAAACTCTGCATTGTGAACATCTGCAAGGAACATAGATAAAACCTGTCAAATAGACACACCTGCCCATACCCATGCATGCCAACACACAGCAGAGAAATGAACATACCTATTCCTCTGGCAGAATACTCTTGACACAAGTGAAGGTCATTTTCACAGGATATTAAAATTATTTCTGACAAACTCTAAGGAAAAGAAAAGCAGATTCTTGGTTACTGAGCCTCATACATGACACTGACGCATTCAACAGTGTTTCACTTCTGTGCACCTTATTCTGCTTATGTTCCATGAGTTTCCGGAAAGACGGCTGTTTAGACAACACTTTGCCTCCTGCACACTCCACAATTGCTTTCATGGTTGACAGACTCGGGCAGATCCCAGGAGTGATGTAAAAGTATTTCGCCTAAAAATGAAAATACGTGTACTGGTTTCAAACTGAATCTTCAGTGTGCGTAATTTCTCATTCTACCCAAGAATTTTGACAAAATGACTAATTTCATGGAGCTACATGGTACTAGACCCCCCTAGTTCCCCACATGAAGTGGGCCTGGAATTTCAGACATGGAATTTCAGAAATAAGCACCCTCATATGCTAGGTGTGACGTATAATTATTAAAAAGAAACTAGAACATTAATTCTTGTAAGACATGAAGTATGCTGTGATAAAAGCAAGAATAAGAACATTTCTCACAATTTCTAAAGCTCAGATGGAGTATAAAATGATTTTGATGGTTAAAATTTTCTAACACCCTTTACTCTTAAATGTACCAAAAATACCATCTTGTTTTAAACTCCTGAAATATTTAGAAAAACACAGGTTATTTTAGGTAATGTACTCTTAACTCAGTACTGCAAATCTCTTTTGATTCCTAAGTTGGCTCCTTAAGAGTAAAAAAACAAAACAGAACCAAAAAAAAAAAAAAATTACCTCTATCAATCTACTAAGCCACTGTTTGATACAAAAAAATTTTCTAAACTGTTTTTAGAAACATTTAAACACTGTAGTCTAGAATTATTAGACACATATTCAGTTAATATTTTCCCAAGAATGATCTCCATTTTCCAGCTGAATATACGTTTTATGAGAACAGAGTTGTTAACAGCAAAAAAAAAAAAAATTTAAATCTTACAAATCATTCATAACATACTCTTTGAACCCGGGTTGTGTGTAATGCATCTCTCTCCGTATCGATCCTCTTAGCCCCGGCACACACCCGGGACGAGGCCCAATTTTGCAGGGTGAGTGGGGAGCACCCGGCTCTCTGGGAGCAAGCCGCCCGCCCCGTCACGGCCGCCCAGCGGCAGCAGCTGAGCCGAGCTCCCGTCCAGGCATACCTTGAAGAGCGGAGCAGCGTGGGCCCTCCTCAAGGACTCCTCCAGACTGAAGGAGAAAAGCACCTCGGCCTCCGCGTCTCGGAGAAGGTAGTTCTGCTCGTCTGCAGAGGGAGACAGCACGGAATCAGAAAGGGCCTGGCGCTGGGGGGCACCGCGTGTGACCGGCCCCATGCACCCCGGAGAAACCTGTCAGCGAGACAGTCTCCCTGACTGTATTTCAGTGACTTTCCTCCCGAAAAAAACCAGGCCAAAGACACTCTTCCTCCTGTACCAGCGTTTCTCAGCTTTTAGGAACAAATGTCCCAAAAGCCATGGACCCTCCTCTCACCCCTGGGCGGCTCCCCACCCCCTCAGCTGTTAACTTCACACTGTTGGGGCACCCCAACCCAGACGAAGGTGAAGGGCGCCTGTGCGGAGGGACAGCCCAGGAACCAGTGTCACAGCCAGCGTGTGCCCACAGGGACCAGTGAGTTCAGAGCCACTGGACTCCGGCTGAGACTCAATTAGCCACAGTCCACAAATGGACCAGAAACAAGTTCCAACAACTGACAAAGAATGGTTCCACCAGATTCTGAGGCTCTAAGAATTTTTAAATAATACCCAATTTTTCAAAAAGTAAAGATCACAAAGTATTTTCATCTTCTTATGAATACATCTCGTTCAGAAAAGCGTTTCACCATCGTAACCAAACCAACAGCCCAGGGTCGGGCTGAGTCAGACCACACGCTGTAGGGCTGATGGGCCACACGCTGGGTCTGTCACTCGCCCTTCTCTTTTTAAAACAATGCCTTAAAAACAAGAAAGCCATTTTCAGCTCAGAGACCATAGTCACTGACTCCGTCATGTCGCTCAGGAGACACGGAGATTTAACAAGTGCTAGAAATGCAGGTCCACCAGCCACCAGCTGAAAAAGGCACCACACTAGGTGAAAGAAAAGAATGTCTAAAAAACGAAGCTGAAGAATGAGCAAGGCACCGTCACGCACGAAGTGATGCATCTGAAATGCAAGTTTCTACAGCAGGATCCAGGCTGTGCGCCTGCTGAAGAGCTGAGACGGAGGAGGAGCAGTGCGTGTGAGGAGGGAGGACTCTGAGAGGAACGCAGCAGCTCCAACCACCCTGGTTGTAAGAGCAGCAGAGTCACATTAACTTGGTCAGAGTTGTGGCAAGAGTCAACTTGAAAATCAAACTTCCCACAGCAGCACAAAGGGCATGTGTATTCCAGAAAGAAAGAACCTACACAACTGGCGTCTCAAACTATGTAAATACAAATACAAAGTCAAAACACCCATCCCCCGTGGCTGGAAGCGCTGTCTGAATGCCGTCAGAGCCCAGGCGGGGGCCGTCCTGCAGACTGGGGGTGCAAGGGTGGCCGAGGGGGCTGCCTGCCCACAGGGGACTCGTCCAGGGAGTTGGTGCATTTAGGACCTGGGGAGCAGGCATCTTGCCGCTGGAGTGTAGACGCGGGAAGGGACAGACGCGCGGGAGCCCCGTGCTGCGGGACTGGCGCCGGACAGACGGACACAAGACGCACCGTGGAGTCAGCTTGGCGCAGCCAAAGCCCACCGGCCCGAGCGCCGTCAGCTCCCCGGGTCTGCCCGGAGCCAACTGGGGGTGATGGGGGTCCCTGGGACACGCTGGTGCCGCTATCAGGGCAGAAAAGCCTAAGACGAGCCTAGGACGCTCTTGCTTTGCCAAAAGTTCCCAGGTGGTCACAACTGGTGGGAAGAGCAGGGAGGACACGAGGCCAGCCCAGCCAGTGGCCAATGGTCACGACGGGCGACATGGGAACGGTGCCATCTCCACGGATGAGACAGAAGTGGACGTGAGGAAATGGGGTAAACGAGAGTTGGCTTGAGGCAGCAGCGGCTACAGACGCCACAGAGCTCCCCACAGACGACCGAGAGCGGGGGGGCCGGGCGGGGACACCATGGACGTCACCCCGGTCAGGGCCGCCCCGTGCAGCCCTGGCAGGACGCGTGTGGGGGCACAGCAGCGGGGTGGCGGTCTCACCGCAGAGGCCCCGCCTGTCCTGGGGTGGGTGCCCCTGTTCCCAGGACACTCCTGGGCTCCCAGGCCCCGCTCCGGCCACCGTCCCCCACCTGGAACCCCATTCGACAGCCAGCGTAACAGAGAGGGCAAGTAATCAGGAAACAGCCAGGCGGGGCCACAGAGCTCTTCCCAATCACCACACCGTATTTCACAGTAAGATGCAAGGCATCAAATGACTCACTGGGACGTGAAATAATCTGTTATTTATCCATTTAAATTCAGACTTAAAAACTGAACTCTAGCTGGATGCTGGGGATGAAAATGTTTGCTGGGATGAAAACAGAGACAGATTTCAAGGCAAGCCCTCCCACCTGGGCACCCAGTCCCCGTGGCGCAGCGCGGCCCCTTACCGATGAACTTCTGGCACTTGAAGCACTCCTCCAGCCACTCTGGGGTGACGATGTGCTTCACCACGGAGATGGCCGTCAGGAACTTGACCGTCCGCGTCACCTTGCTGGCGATGAGGTGGGTGCACTTCTGTGCGGACTCGGCCACCTCCCCACCCAGGATGTAGAGCTTCTGGGGGCCGGGAACAGAGCAGTGGTGACACCATCCTGTCTGCAGAGCCACCCGCCCGCCCGCCCGCAGCTGGGACCTGTATAGACCCTGAGTGGGGCTCTCAGCCACGGAAATGGTGAAAGCGGTGAGCCAGACCTACGCCGCCGTGCAAGCCAAGTGGGAACTGGAAGCGACAATTTCCCTAATCAGTGCCACACAAGCCAAGACTGAAGCAGGACCCCCGCCGGACCCCCGGAGGAAACCCCTTTGAAGCAGCAGGAAGCTCTGAGAACAAGGCAGTTCGCTACGCAAGGAGCAAAGCTCCCAGGCTGTCTATGCCACAGTGAGTGTAGACAAGGCACGTTAAGACATAGGCTTTAAGAAACGAGGACATAAAAATCGACTTAAGACATAGACATGTAAAAGTTGATCTCTTTATACCCAATTTTAAAAGTAAAAAAAGAATTTTATAGTAGCAATTTTATATTTATTAAAAAGAAATTTTATAATTGTTTCTTTTCCTTAAAAAAATAAAGGGAAATGTTTGAATCCCTGTGATATAGGTCAACTATACTTCAACCATCCCCTCCCCAGACACCCACATAACAAAACACAAGCCCACAACCCGTCCTGGTGTTACCTCCAGAAGTGCATTTATGTAAATAAATACAAATACACCACTGAGCCCTGGGCCCACTGCACCCGAGAGAAGAAGTCTTGAGAAGACGGTGGGTTCATTCGGGAAACCTGAAGGGGCCCAGCTACTCTCGTAAGCTAACATCCTTATGAAAACGGTATCTGTGCGGCTCTGCTAACGTGTTATTACAAGACTGCTCCTGGCCTCCTCACCTGAGTCGTCCTAACAAGCAAGCACGCGTCTGCAGAGGAAGCAGCAGCAAGAACAAGGCGGGAAAGCAACGATGCAACGATGACGCAATTTATAAATGCACATGATGAACACCGCTACAACACAATATTCCTGATCACATGTTAACACAACGGCTATTCTAAAGCAAATGTAAACAGAAAGGAGCATTCCTAAAAGTCCTTATGCAAAACAGAAGGAAATTTCACCTTTATGTACTCTTGAACTTGAACAGACTCAAATCCAGTGAAAAGCACAAAAGGGGTCAGTTCCGGTGTTAACTTCTTGGTGGGAGGTGGAATATCTTCAATTCTATGAAACACACAGAAGAGAACAGCTATTACTTCTAATATGTTCTTTCCAAAACAGATTTTAATTTTTACAGCTTTAACAAGCTCTGAGAGCATCACCTGTGTGTGGTTTTCTTTCCTTAAAGCAAAGTGCGGTGACTCCCCTGTGCTCTTTCCCCCCATTTACAGTCACCCCAAAGGACTCTCGCCTGGCACACCCAGGGCAGGGCCCGACCAAGTACCACGCCCCAGCCCGCGCTGGCCCTGGGGGCCTGTGAGGGCGGGAGGGGGGCTTCCAGGGCCCCCTACCATCTCCCACAGACCCCATCCCACCCCAGAAGCTCTGACGCAGAACAAAGCTGGTTGACTCAACCACACTTTATATTAAACTTCTTTTTTTCCTTAAGTTTTTCACACCCTATTTCTAGCTTATATTCGAGACAGTCTAATAATTTAAAAAAACCTGTAGCGTTTTAATGATGTGTTATAATCATATAATTAGTCTTTTACTGAAGAATCCAACAACCCCTAGCCTGGGTGGCTGTGGGAACTGGAAGGAGGGGCTGAGGAGCGGGGAAGAGACAAAGACCCTCACTCAACGCGGCCCAGGGGTCTCTGGGTTCTGGATGCACCGCCGGCTTAGCTTCAGCAGGCGAGGCCAGGACCAGTCTGAGCACACCCTGCCCCAAGCCCACAGGGGGGCTCCATCCCCTCCCAACCCGGGCCAGGGGTCGCAGGCGGGCTCCGGACACGCAGAGGACGCCTGGAGCGGGGCTCCAGCACCCCTGCCCTGTCCCACCACAGCAGCTCATTTCACAGAACGGGGGTTCTGGCGAGATAGAAAAAATTAAAAAGATTGGACTTTCTTTAATAAAAAAAGGAAAAGACACTGGCTATCCCCCATTTATCTCCAGTGATGAAACGAGAGATGTCATGATACAGCTGCAATGCAAGCAAGCACATCCTTCCAAGTACTGGGGGTTCAGCTGCTCTGTCATGTCCGACTCTCTGCAACCCCAAGGACTGCAGCCCGCCAGGCTCCTCCTCTGTCCATGGGACCCTCAGGCAGGAATACTGGAGCGGGCAGCCAGGCCCTCCTCCAGGGGCTCTTCCCAACCCGGGGACTGAACCCGTGCCTCTTGCGTCACCTGCACTGCCAGGCAGGTTCCTCAGCGCCAGCGTCACCGGGGAAGCCCTTCCACGTGAAAATCTCAGAAACTTCCCAACTGCTACCATTTCCTAGATCACACTGTAAAAGATCATCAACCATAAAAAAACAAGGTGGTTCTTCCTACCTGGCTCTTTTGGAAGAAGGCTGAATATTAGTTACTTCATTCTGCTTTGGTTTGGGAGGTAGTCTTACACCCTGTAATTAAAGAATGATTTACCTTAGTCAGCCTCCCCAGTAACACAGCAGCTTCTGAGCGCTTTCCACCCACCTGACCTCACACAAGAAACGCTCCCCACTGCACAACCGGCAGAGACCACGGGCACTGCGAGCCGCCCAGGGAGGCCCTGGCGCTGGCCACCCTCCCTATTCACCAGACCCTACAGTGCTTTAAGACGTCTTCACCCCCTCAGCTCTTGTGACAGATTTAATCCTCAACCGTGAACTTTTCAAAACACTTCTTACTTCAAATATTTTTTGTTTCACAATGGAATTTGGAAAACAAGATTGCAATTACACCCCTTCAGAAAGACGGCGGTCCCCCTCTGAGGGTGTAAGACGGTCGGGTCACAGCACTCTGGAGGTGAGGGCAGGCCTCTGACAGCCACTCCAGGACCCGAGCGTGGTGCCCGCGCTCCTAACACCAGCTGGAGGCCCTGACCTGCAGAGACGCCGAGTCCGGTGGTGGGCCAGTGCCTGGGGCCCCACAGGCAGCCTCGCGCTGCGGCTGCTGGCCCCTCAGCCCGCCCTGGCCTCTGACGCAGACCTTCTTCCACAGCACACTCGTTTATGTTCTATCGGGAGCAACCACCTCTCCATCTGAGGTGAGGGTGGAGAGGACTCTTCCTCATTTCCTACCAACCACCCCTGGCACCCCAGTGCAGAACGGCCCACCAGAGACCCTGGCCCGCGGGCTGGAAGCGAGGAGCTGCGGTCAGGGCTGGCATGCTGGCGCCCCAGGTCCCGCCTCCCGAACCGCACGGAAACGCGCGGTCTTCCCTCTCTCCTGCTCCACAGCCCCGTAAGCAGTCAGGACGTGCTCTGAAGAAGCCACGGGCTAACGTGTGTCGTGTGAATTAACTCCCAATGTCATCAACCAGGAGGAAGAAGACACAGGTGTGCTGAGGGCTTACGACAGGCGAGAGGAGTCAGCCCGCATTTGTCACGATGGCCGATTACCAAAAGAATTAGTCACAGATACAAATGCATCCCTACTGCTTTGTAACACAGTAACGCCACAGTGAGGGGACTAACTTGACATACCATCAACAACTCTGCTGACACTTTCAATGGAACTCTCCAAGCATCTGAAGAGAGAAAACAGGTTACTTTTCAGAAACACTATGTAAATAAAGGACCCGTCATCAATATAAAAGCCTTTTCAGGACCCCTACACACTATTATATATAAAACGGGTTAACAATAAGGACCTGCTATATAGTACAGGCAACTCTACTCAATATTCCACATGAGAAAAGAACCTAAAAAAAAACACATATATGTACCAGTTACAACTGATTCACTTTGCCGCACACCCAAAACTAGCACAAACGGTTGGTTTATTGTAAACGAACCATCTTCCAATAGAAAAACAACTAAAAATGCACGTGTATCAGTAACAACAGAAACGAGAGCCTCTCCAGGAGCGAGCCATCCTGGATACGCGGTGGCTCGGTGACAGTCTCCAGTAAGGGAACCGCGAGGACTGCTCCTCAGCCACAGGGAAGCCTGGCCGGGCCGAGGGTTCCGTGAGACACAGCCGAGCAAGCCGCCCGCCCGTGGCCCAGGGCAGGCCCCACCCGCCCGCGTGGGCTGCACCCCAGACAGTCTGGGGGCCCCACGGTCTGCCGTCCGAGAAACCGACTGACGAGCGCAGCGCGTGGGGCTGGCAGCCCGGCTGGGCCCTCGAGGACACGCGTCCACTGAGGAAGGGCCTGGCGCCTGCACCACGGCTCCAGGGCGGCCGTCACACCCAGGTGTGTCCAGGTCAGCAGGCACGCTGTGGCTCAAAACCAGGGAGGGCTTTCCTGCGACTGACGCCGTTAGGAGCAGACCTGGACGGGCTCCTCACGGGAGCGCGTGGAGCGACCAGGCCCTGGAGTGGCGCTCAGGTGGGTAGACGGGGTTAAGCAACATCTGGTGTACAGTCAGGGTGGTCGGCCTTCCTCGGGTTTTGTGCAGCAGAAAGTGGGGGGCGGGGGATGCCACATCTCAGAGAGCAAGTTAAACTAGAGCTGGCTCGAGAGAGAAGATCAAAAGGCTTTCGAGTGCTCCATTCACTTCTGAGAGTCCATTAAAAAAAGCAAACCAAAATACAAACCAGCAAAACTCCTGGGCTGGGTGCAGAGGGAGACAGTGTGGAGAGGAAGCACGAAACGAGACAAAAACCAAGAGACCCTGAAGCCCAGAGCGGCGCCTGGAGCAGCAGCCTGCAGCCCAGGAGCCGCCCACTTACCCAGAAGGCTCAGCACCAGCTGCGGGGTCGGGGCGAAGGGGTCCTGCAGGCCGAAGGCGGTGTAGCGGCCGTACTGCGTCTGCCGCAGGGCCTCAAAGTTCCCCAGCAGGATGTCCCCCAACCACTGGGCGTTCACACACGGGATCCGCCACTCTTTGGCTTTCTCATACTTTAAACCAGTCGGTCTTTTTTGGTGTGGGGAGTGGGGAAGAGGACAGGAGAGAAAACACATTTATTAAGAGTTATCAGCGTTCAAACTTGTACTTCTGTTCAACACAAGCCAGCCCACACTTGCTCACACTGGACGTGGCAGGGACAGGTCTGCAAAGCTGACCAGGATGTAAGGAGGTGTACCCGCGACAGTGAGGTCATTGCCCGGCCTGCTGTCACCTCAGCACTGCCACCTAATCTGACTGCAGCCTCCTTAGTCATCCCACTTCATTCTTCTGCCAGCATTACCAGCAGTATCACTGCCACTCTTTCAACACACTCTGATGTCCACCATTGAACTCTGACAGAAGGAGGGACCCAGGGCAGCACCGGGCGGGGAGAGACAGAGCCCCCGGCTGACCGAGGGACCCGGGGCGGCGCCTGGTGGGGAGAGACAGAGCCCCGGCTGACCCAGGGACCTGGGGCGGCACCTGGTGGGGAGAGACGGAGCCCCCGGCTGGGAGAGACAGAGCCCCCGGCTGACCGAGGGACCAGGGGCAGCGCCTGGCGGGGAAAGACGGAGCCCCAGCTGACCCAGGGACCTGGGGCGGCACCTGGTGGGGAGAGACGGAGCCCAGCTGACCCAGGGACCCCGGGGCGGTGCCTGGCGGGGAGAAACGGAGCCCCGGCTGACCCAGGGACCCGCGGCGGCGCCTGGCGGGGAGAGACAGAGCCCAGCTGACCCAGGGACCCGCGGCGGCGCCTGGCGGGGAGAGACGGAGCCCCAGCTGACCCGGGGACCCGCGGCGGCGCCTGGCAGGGAGAGACAGAGCCCAGCTGACCCAGGGACCCGCGGCGGCGCCTGGCGGGGAGAGACGGAGCCCCAGCTGACCCAGGGACCCGCGGCGGCGCCTGGCGGGGAGAGACGGAGCCCCAGCTGACCCGGGGACCCGGGCAGGCTGTGGGCGGCAGCCGGGCTTACTCTCTGCAGATGAGCACCGTGTTGCTCCGGCACAGGTAGCCTGTGTACTTGGCGCCTGCCAGGTACGCCATCAGCTTCAGGTCGTCCCTGTCGTTGTCAACGAACCCCGTCACAGAGATAATCTGGGGGAGAAAAGGCCCAGTGAGGTCAAGATGGAACGATGGTTAGTTAAGACTAACCCGGTTAGTAAGACTCTTCTCTGTCAGCTGTGCTACAGACACAAGCGTTTCCGTTCCTCCTCAGCACTGAGGTGCACGTGGACACATCTCCTCTGAGGACGCTGTTACTGCTGACAACGCTGCTCACGAGCCAGCCAGGGGGACGGGAAGCAAACACATCAAACGGCGACGCCTCCCTGGGTCAGCTAGACACTGTTCCCACCATGGTAACAAAGTTTCCTATAAATATTGGTCAGTTCTTCTCATTGATCCCGGTTTGGGCTCATCTGACCAGGAGAACCAACAGGACACGATGTCTGGCCAGCTGTGGCCACTCCTGGGGTCAGAGGCTTAATTGTAAAGTGAAAGTGAAGTCGCTCAGTCGTGTCTGACTCTTTGTGACCCCATGCACAGACGCTTTACCGTCTGAGCCGCCAGGGAGTAGGCATTTATTAAACAGTGTCCAAGACTCAGGAGAACCCGTTAAATGTCAGGAAGCCGTGACTGTTACAGGGGGACAGAGAAGGAAACAAGATACTTATTCCGCTCAGGGAGGCGGGGGGAACCTTACGTGCTGGGAGCACGGCTTGCCCCCTGGGGGGAAGGCCACGGGGAAGTGCAGGGCCCGATGGGGCGGCACCAGCTTCTTCTTCTTCAGGACGGTGTTCAGCCAGTGCGCCGTGATGCACCTCTTCCTCTCCTTCATCGCCTGCAAACACAACAGTACGCGCCGGTCGCTGGGGGCTCTCCTGCGGGTGCCGCCCACAGCTGTGAGGCTGCGTGACAGCACGGTCACTGCTACTGGAGTCCTATGAATACAGGAATTTCAGGAGCTTAGCGCTCAGTTTACTAAACGAGTAAAACTACAGCAGTGTCACCGGCTAACTAGAACACAACCCGACACGCAGGAACAAGAGCCGACCGCGGGAGGAAAGCTGACAGCCCAGGAGATGACTTGGGTCACGGCAGGAGACGACACTCCCAATGGTCAGAATCAGAGCCGCCCCGTGAGGACACGGCGCGTTACGAAGACGTGACTGCCCCTGAAGGCAGCCGCAGGACGGGGAGCTGCCGGCGGGCGGCCCCGCTGGGGTGGACGGTGTCCACCTCCCCCTCACTGGGACCCTGCCCTTCCTCCCCGGTCCTCACGGGCAGAGAAGCGGGGGCCACAGACATGTCCACACGTCAAAGGCGGATGGGAATCAGCGAGCAGCAGTTTCCTGTCTTCAGAGGTGGGAGAAAGACCTTTCCAAGCACGACTGTCCCAGTATCACTCAGAGCTCCCAGTCCCAGCAGAGCCGAGCCCTCACCTGCGCAAACAGCCCGCTGACCTGACTCTCGCAGAGCAGGTGGGTGCAGCGGCTAGAGAACGTGGCGTCCACGGCTCCTCCGTGCGCCTGGATGATCTGCACACACACGAGACCCATGTCAGTCAGCTCCCACGCCCGGGGAAGAGGGCCTTGCGATCTCCAATGGGACAGAGTTCACGAGACCCAGCATGTATGTACACAGTGTATTTCCCAAAGTGTGAATGAACCATCAGTTATATTCACGGGCTTCCCACCCCACACTACACAGCAAAGATGAACTCTAAGCCCCGTTTCATCTGAACTTCCAGAGGAAGAGTGGCATGCTCTCTAAGACAGGACGCTGCGGATGTTTTAGATAAACCAGCTGTTCTGTGCTGTGGGGCACCCCATGTCCCAGGGGGGCGGATGCATCCCAACCCCCAACCCAGATGCCAAGAGCACTCCCTCCGCTGGGACAGTGAGAAAGGTTTTAGGTATCGCCAACTGGTCCCTAGGGCCAGAAGTGCTGCCTTTAAGAAACTTTATTCTAAACAGAAGAAAAGAAAGCAAACCAAGATGAAGTTAAAGTCAGTTTCTGAGTTTCTGAATTTTTTCACACCATCCTGTATCCCAACTGCAGTGGTTACACAGCCGTGTGGCACTGACGGGAATGCTGTTACCAAAAGGGCGAGAACTTTCTCGGGTTGGCCAAAAAGTTTCTTTGATTTTTTAACTAAAAGGCATGCCCAAAGAACTTGATTGAACACTGTGTTCACCGTTCTGTTCCAGTACCTTTCACCATTGTTCAGGCAGCTTCATGATTCCATATTCCCATGACTTTTTATCATTCTGAGCAAAGAACTATTCAGGTACCTTTTACAGTCTTCTAGGGAATTAAAGTTTTTTTCCAATAAGAGAATTTTGTAAAGACTGAAATAAATGGAAATTCGAAGGTGCAATGTTTGGAGAATATGGTGCATGAATCAGAACTTCCCAGACAAGCTGTCAGTTTCTGCCTGGTGATCACACATCAAAGAAACATGCAGTCTGATTATCTTGACGGAAGCGTGTGAGTTTTCTGTTGATTAATTCTGGGTGCTCTTCAGAAAGTGCTGCTTTCAGTCTAACCGGTAAGAGTACTTGTTGGAATTAACCGTTTGGTCTTCCAGATGGAGCTCACAATAGAGGACTCCCTTCCACCCCCTCCACATACACAACATCACCTTCTCTGGTGTGGTTGGTGGTAGTTCATTTCCTTGCCCCCAGATCTCTCCTGTTCATTATTGCACCAGATCTTTTCATTGCTGGTCACAATTTGTTTTAAAAACAAAACATTTCTGGTTATGTTTCAGTAGAAAACTGCATGTGGAAAAAAGGTCAAGAAGGCCTTTTTCGCTTCACTTGTGTGGAACCCAAACATCAAAGTAATGGACACAGGCAAGCTGGTGCAACTCATTCTCAGTGCTGGACTTGGATGTTCTGAGTGTGTCAGCTACCTCACACGTGGTGTGACGTTGACTGTTCTCAGCTAACGTCTCGACTTGAGCGGTATCAACTTCAACTGGTCTACCCAGCCATGGGGCACTGTCCAGCAAGAAACCTCCAGCAGGAACCTTGGCAAACCACTTCTGGCACGTTTCATCAGTCACAGCACCTTCTCCATACACTGTACAAAGCTCTCTTTTTTCCTTTACAGTTGTGTTTTTACCTTTCTTGAAATAATTAAGCATAATATGCCAAAAATATTCGTTTCTTTCATCTTCAATATTAAAATGGCTGCACAGAAATTCAGCAATTTTGATAACTTTTTAAAAGAATGCACGCTGATAAGACAGCTGTCACAGAACAATCTAAAAAAATTGTTTTGCATGAAGTTAAAGTCAATTAAACGCTATCAGAGCCGTCTTACAGAAAAAACAAACGAGCTTCTTGGCCAACCCAGTGTGTGTGCAGGTGTAGGTACATGTGTATGTCTGTGTGCAGGTATGTGTATCTCAGTGACCTCACCCTTTTCCAGGTGGCCAGCAGCTGCTTGTCAGACATCTGCTCTGGATAATCCACGATTGCAAACACACATCCCAGTAAGAAGCCTTCTTCTGGGACTACAACAGAATCAGGAAAGAATTAGAACAAGTAAAATGAATTAGAAGCCCCACTCTATGGATGTGTGCACAAAACATGAAAAAGCTCATTTTGCAGAGTTCAGTGTGAATTTATGAAGTTAGTCACGCTTGCCCACGATGTCTGAGGACCTCTGCAAAGGGTCCTACAAAAACAGTTGGTAACAAATGGAGCTATTTGACTCCCCATATGATGTGATTCAAAACCGGGAACCATCACAGTTTATGTCTGGGCGCCGAGCGCTCCGAGTGGTCCTTGCAGCAGCCCGCTGTTCCAAGGACAGCAGTGTTCACTTCAGGGTAGGGACAGAGGCCCAGACCAGCGGGGAAACCTAACGACTCCTAACCACGGTCCCCTAAGTATTTCTCTGACGCGGATCCTTAGCCTGCCCTCTAACGCTCTCAGAGAAGGTGCAAGGGTTTCAGGAGAGGGAAAGAGAGATGCACGTTACTAACTCTCCACCGCCGGGTCGTGTCCGAACAGCGGGGGCTGCACCTGCGCCTGGGGCGGCGGGGGCTGCAGGGCCTGGGCAGGCGGGCCAGGCGGCTGTGCTGTCGGCGTTGGCTGGATCTGCTGCATCTGCTGCAGGCGCTGCAGGTGCTGGAGGTGCTGCTGCTGCAGGTGGGCGAGCTGCTGCTGCTGCAGGGGCGGCTGCGGCCGCTGCAGGGGCTGCTGGGGGAACGGGTGCGGGTGGGCCTGCGGCGGCGGGAATGGGTGCGGCGGAGGCGGGGGGTAGGGCGGCTGCGCCAGGTGCTGCTGCTGGAGCTGCAGGAGCTGCTGGGGCTGCAGGTGCAGGACGGGGTGCGGCGCCGGGGCCGGCTCTGGGGCCACCTTCACCTGGCCGAGGAGCACCGCGCCCGGAGGGCCCTGTTGGCTGTGGTTCACCTGCTGCTCCAGCGTCTTCGTCGGCGCCGAGAGGGACTGCAGAATCTGGAAGCAGAGACCAGGCGAGGGCACATCAGCAGCTGCTGCACTCACCTCACCGGCCCCTCAGAGCGCGGAGCGGCACGCCTGACACGCTGCGGGCTAACCCTCACCAGCGGGAGGCTTCAAACTCACTCACTCACGTCTCCCCTGTGCTTATGTGCTGCCAGCTCAGAGACATGGACATACTCGTACTTGAGACCGCGTCACCAAAACGTGGAATGGAGTAAGTAAAACGGAAGAGGCTACTGAACGGACGTGGGCAGATATACTCCCTGGAGTGGCTGACTAGAGCAGAAGGACCAGCGGAGGGGGCGGTGGGGGAGGCTCTTCTGTCCCGCTGACCCCACAGTCCTGCTGCGAGCACAACGCCCTGCCACCCCCCACCTCCCCCAGGCCATACAGCCTGACCAGGCCTCCCTCCCACGGCTGCCATTTCCCAACAAAGGGTCCAGAGGACGCCAAGACCCCACCCACATGAAGGCACGGGACACTGCGGCCCCAGACGGCAGCCGCCAGCCCCGTCAATCTGCGGCCGCCCCGCTCCACCACACGCACGAGGGACAGGGAGACCCAGCCCCAGCGGTGTGCACGCGGGCCGCCCTCCCCAGCCCAGAGGCCATGCGGAGCTGCCCCTTCCCCGTCCTCAGGGCGAGGCGGGCCCCGCACGCACACTGGACAGCAGCCTCAGGCGGGAGCCCCGCGGCCACGGCCTCCCCGAGCTCAGGCCCTGCTCGGGGACTCCAGGAACCAGGGACATGGCCTCGCAGAGCATCACATCCCGTGTTATTTTACTACCCTGTGCCGCGCTGGACGTAACAAAAGAAACCTGCCTTACGATGAATTTTCCCAACATGCTCAAAAAAATTGGAAGCCAACTTCCTATGGTCAAGGAAAACAGTAACTAACAGATTTTACTAAAGGCAATGCCAAAGAATCTTCCAACTACCACACACTTGCACGCATCTCACACGCTAGCAAAGCAGTGCTCAAAATTCTCCAAGCCAGGCTTCAACAGGACATGAACCATGAACTTCCAGATGTTCAAGCTGGATTTAGAAAAGACAGAAGAACCAGAGATCAAATTGCCAACATCCACGGGATCATCGAAAAAGCAAGAGAGTTCCAGAAAAACATCTATTTCTGCTTTATTGACTATGCCAAAGCCATTGACTGTGTGGATCACAATAAACT